CAGGCGGGGTCTGAACCGTTGTCACAACGGTGAATTGGTGATAAAACGGCCAACGAATCTGTCGGTAGCGTGCCATTCGTTGAACTGCGATCGTCGTCAGGTCTATTTAAAGGGAGGAACTCCTGAACATCAGCTAGTGAGGGGCACGGGATTGTCTCCATACTAGTATTGTTCGAGAAGTTTTCAAAATTCTCAACAGTGAAAGATTTGAGTCTCCCAGTATCGTATCCCTTCTAAAGAGAGCCGACGTTAACATCTGCACTGACATCGCTTCGAAGATGTGTAGAAGCTTCACCGCGAGCTGTTCCGTTCCAAGTTTGGGCCTATTGCGATAGTCCATCGGCACTCCTTCCGGGGGTCGGTGGTGTACCATGAGGGGAGGTGGGACCGTGTAATGATATAACCGATTAGTCAACGCCCCTTGATGCCTGATAATAATAGTCCAATTGAGTGATTCCAACTAAACAGTCGGTCCCAAAAAAACGGGCTAGAGGTGTGCTTTGGAGGCTCCGAAGTCTTCGAAGTCTGGCTTCCGGCCCTTCGAGCACAGTGATGCGAATTGGCGCAACAAACCCCTCAAAAAAACCGAAGCACGTGAGGTTTCGGAAATGCCCGCGCCTGAACTCAACGCCAGTGCGAGTTGAGGGGTGCATAAGTTTGTAGATACAACATCTAGGTGCTGGAAATATACACAGCAGGGGATATTTTAAAGCTATTTGGCAATTTTTGAGCAGATTGGAAGAAGATTCTTAGGAATTCCAAAAAAGGAAATTTTGGGCTTCTCGCGTGCGCGAGTGTGACAAGGGGGAGGGGGTGGTGAGGTGTCATCCAGAAGAAGCTGAAACAGGATTCCACAAAGGTCTTAGAGGTTCCGTGCCCCAGTACCAGATACACACTTACTTCAAAAATTTCACGGCACTTTGGCCTCAGCGGGATTCAAACCGGGGTAATACCACTACACAACCAACACAGCAGAATCTAATTTCTTATGAATATAACTCCATACTGATCCACTCGAATGCGCCGACACTATGCGGGTTTCCGGAAACTCACGTGCCTCGGTTTTTCTGAGGGGTTTATTACATCAAATGTGATGCGAAAGGCCTCAGTCGCACCGACATTCGATATTGAAGGAGTTACAAGTGGCGCTGGCGTAGGAGCATATGCAAGTGATCGAAGATGTGGGGATACTTGTGCTCGTTGGAAGGTGAGACCAGTGTTACTGTTTGGACAGATATTGCTGGAGGATTGGCATTACGGCTGACCGGAGCTCCTGTCCTTTTCCTAATCAATATTACATAATAACCATAAGTTTTCTTTCACGTCCCCCTTTATACGATGGTATCTGGGCCCGGGCAGCACATCATAGATACTTGTCTCTCCCACTCCCAGTGTCCAAGGAACCCACCCTTCGTGTGAGCTTGCTTCGAATTCGAAATTATCTGGATCAGCTGTTCGTATTCCGAGTATGGAGTCCTCCAGTAGTAAGGGTGTCAGGCAAAAAATGTTCAGAGTCCTCCGTTCAAACATCAGGTGGGAGTCTAAAGCCTGCGAGGGAGACATTGAATTTCCAGGAAGCTAAACAAAAACAGGTTAACAGGTTTAAGCCTCGGCGCGCAGGAGGGGCACCTGTGCGAATGCTATGCAGAACACACTTGTGTGATAAAAGAACCTCGGTGCAGGGTACGGTTGCGGAGGTACAAACCAGTGGGGTATGTACATCAAGTTCCTATGTTATATATAGTAAAAGGGGGGGCGGCCATAGGATAGGCCGGACAAGCGGAGAGGGGTAGATTGAGCGGCACGTGACGTACGCCGTAGTCGATAACTGCCCATTTCAACACACACCAGCTCGGTCCGTTTCTCGTCGTCGAGTCCTTTTGTTTGCGGTAGCAAAAACCAGTATAGAGGCTGGTTGAGAACCTGGCCATAGAACCCAATCTAGCATCAATCGCCAAGACAAGAGTCAGACAGACTCCGCACACTTCATGCGTGTTTCTTCGATTTGAACAGGCTATGCACATTTTACTTGAGACGACGTATAGTACTCTCCCTCTGGTCATCGCACGCATCACAGGTTACTTACAGAAAGGCATAACACTACTATTATCTGCGTTCTGAGTAACAGGCATGATCCCGCGCATATTTCCCATCAAAAAATTAGGATTGCAAAGGGGAATAACAGGTTGAAGTTCCAGAAGCCTGGTTCCCTCCCTCCGGAGTGAAGAGACAAGCCGGATCCGCACAGATGACCCGATGTTACTGTTGTACCGTTCTAGGGCCACATATCCCCTATTTAGTCATGATGGCCCGCGCCCTTCGCCTAATCGTCAGCCTGGGGGTGTCCACTGTCACAAAGGAACGACGTCAGGAAAACGTGTGATAGACCCGAACCAGAGGCAATTATTGCTATCGACGCACGCACATGTTTGAACCTTGAAACCTCTGTAGTAGCGCTTTCACGCTTTGGCCACCTTTGTGGCACAAGACGAATCGATGCCCGCTATCGCCACAAGCAGACCCTCATATGGCAGGTGCCAATGTTCCGATCCTTGGGAACTAAATAATTCCAATGAGAACTGAACAAGAACCTGTTGTGAGATGACAACTCCATAGCGTAGCTGTCAGGATGTGCCAGACGACAAAGACCAGGGAGCGGCCCGGGATTTACCACCACCTTCGCATCGTCTCCAAGGGAACATAACCCAAAGAAGATTATGCCACATATCTGGAAGGAGACGGGAGAATCTAAGTATATTCAATGCGACGGTTAGATGGTAATGTCAAGCAGATTATAGCGACCGCATACGGGTGGTTGAACGATTGAGTCAGGTAAGAGAGAATCGGCTTCTCCAATAGATAGTCGGCCCTGTTATGCTCTACAATTTTAGAGAATATACCCATGATACTCATGATGACATGAGACATGCTTGTATTGTGAAAGTCCCTGCGGACAACATCAGAGATGAGACCGTAAGGGGCGACATAAGGAGAGTGTGCTGACCTCAATGCCAAATACCGAGCAAGGGGGACCAGTAGTCTGCAGGATATTAATCGGTTGAGAAGGAAGGGGCTTTGAGGCCTATTCAAACATGAAGTCCGTAGGCGCTAGTCTCCGTTCCACCACAGACAATAAAACCCACTTGCGCATCAGCATGTCCCTCACGTACAATGACGCATCGCTCTTCAAGAAATATTGTCGAGACGTAGGATTGTGAGAGCAGAATCGCAGCACTAGGATCTCAAAATTGTCACAAGTCTCAGATGCTAAATGACTAAACCGGGAAATTAAAGATTGCACAAAGATAGTGGGTACGAACATACTAGTGACGACGGAAGATCCTAACCAAGACAGAATGGGAAAGATGATCCATGGGGAGGTGGTCCTCGGCCTCGGACATCAGCCGCAAATCCACTTTGGTGGTCGTCAAAAACTCGGACATAGAGTCCAAAATGGCAAAAGGTGGTTTTGCCCCGGACATTTTCCAAAAAAAGGGCCAAAAAGTGGTCATCGTGGATGAGACCTATATCGGAGCTTTCCGGGGTCCTGGGCTTCGATTCAGTCGAAACTTGCCTGACACACGAGCTCGGAATCCCCAATTTCCAGCTTCACTCTACTGGTGCGATCGATCCTGAATGATATCCTATTCACCGCAGGGTCTAAATCGTCCAGCAGAACATTTCGCCCCTCCGTTGTTCGGAGAGAAAACATCTGTGGCTTTAAATCCGAAGACGGGATCTTAACCATTGTGACAAAGGTGAATTAAAATGGCCAGTGAATCTGTCGGCAGCGCACCATTCGTTGCACGTGGATCTTATCTGGGCCTATTTGAAAGTTGGGATTCCCAAACATTAGGGGGGCAGTTGGGTATTGGGTTGACTGTTGAGACGGATATACGCTTGATTACATAATGTAGGTACTTGGTGTTCTCTCTTCTACATGTGCGTTAAGCTTCCGCCGAACACCGTCGCTCATTATTGACTACATACCAGTAATGGTCAAAAATTTTATGAAATCCAAAACACTGAATGATTTGAGCCTTGGACCATCATTCCCCGCTAGTGAGAAGGTTTGAGTTAAGGTCTATATTGAGATTTTTGAGTATTGACACGCATGTAGAGGATTCAGCAAGTGTGATTTTCTTCCAAGTTTAAGCCCATTGTGATAGTGTGTCAGTGGTGCATCTGATGGTGGGGGCACTGGTATGGGGGGTGTCAGAAAGGAGGAGAAACAGGTACTGCTTCCATGTGGAGGCTTTAACTCATCATATAAATGTTACATATCATCAAAAATTGGTTATGCACATCACACAGAATCTCTATGGAGGAATTAAGACTTTATACACCTCCCGATATACAGTTGCAAGAATGTTGCCAAAACTCGACTTGGCATGTGAGAGAGAGAGAGAAGATCTGGTTTGTATCCGGAATAGGCATGGAAGGCATGCTGGATAATAAGTTCTATCTTCAGAATTGGTGGGATAGCTCAGTTGATAGAGTCTCTGTTGATAGAGGCTCAGTTGATAGAGCCTTGGTTGATAGAGTCTTGGTTGATAGAGTGCCTGGTGAGAAGGCAGGAGGTCCTAGGTTCAAATCCTGGATCCACCACAATTTTTAGTCAAATAACAAGGCACTCAGAGTGGTCTATGGTACACAAATACAAGCTGTGACAGAATGAACCATTGCAACCAAGCAGGAAATGGGGAACTCTATTCAGCTCTGGTGCTTTGTGACTTCTTGTGACTTGTCCAAGTCTGAGCCGACCCGAAGTGACTCGACCCGACTTCGGAGCAACTTTGTGAGACACTTTCTGCAACACTGACGAAGGGGTTGTTGCCATGACATACCCCTCAAACCAGTATGATAGTAATTCTTGTATGCTCAGGTTTGGCCTGAGAAGTGAGGAAGAGTGATGTCACATCATGACTGAGCCAGATGAAACACGGATGGGTGGACGACGAGAAACAAGGGGACAGTGATGGAGCCACAAGCGAGGTCGCTGGGAAGTGCATTGATAGTCCCTGATCGTCTGAGAATTGGAACGGGATTCGGCGGACTCGTCGGTCCAGTGTGGTTGAGGCACCTTGTATTTGTCTTCCCCACACGACGCTGTCTCCGACTACCTCTTTTCTCGCTGGCCACATCAGGAATAACCAGCATCATTTACTAACCAGCATCGTTTACGTCCTTCCACTTTAGGGAAATGTTTTCTCAAGGACGAGTAACATTGATAATCCCTTCTATTCTTCATTCTTCCATATCTTTACGTTACATAGCCACTATACACCTTCCCAGCTCGAGCTCTCTACTGCAACCCTTGCACCCGATCCTAGCACTAGTGATACGGACCAAAGGGTGCCCGAATAATTTGGCCCCCACCGCCACGAAACAAGACTTCAGACCCCTCTATTACATTAGAACCGGATTTGACAGACATCATGTCTAAGCTATTCCGCCATCCGCCTACGAATCAACCGACATATCACGGACCAGTGACAGGCGAGGCATTGTAGGGCTTCACTATCTACATCCCGGCAGGACAGTAAGGAGACATACATAAATACGACGCAATTACACTGCTTCCCAGCAAACATTCGGCCCTCGCACTACAAAAGGAGAATACCAAGTCCGGGAATGCCCGTTCCTGGCTGTTGAGTAACAAACTGGATGCGCGTAGATACGACCAGACGCACCGTAATATTACAAGACCTCTAGGTCTTCGACCTGGTCATCATGGCCCGTGTCCTTCCCCATATCATGGGCCTGGGTGCTTCCACTGCCAAAAATGAACAATGTCAGGAAAACGCGCAATGGCAACCTCCTTGCTTGGGCTGGGGGAACATCATTCATCCTATTGACGCTAGTGTTGCCGAAGACTTGACCTGAAGTCGGCTTAAGTCCGGAGTCAGTCCGCTTTGGGTCGAGTCAAGTCAAATCCTTTGATTACCAATCTTTGGGCTTGACTTGACTTGACTGGGGCTTGAGTTCGACTTGGGGTGTAGTTAGGTAAACCAATATGTACATAGATATAATCCTTGGGGGACACTATCCTGTGTGCCACACAGGTAGGGTATTAAGGGCCCCATTGGCAGGCGGTAAATCACCGGAAAAAAAAATGAATACAATTTGAATTCCGTGTCTTTTCCCCCATCCTATGTCAACCTCCAGGAAGCGCTCAAGTGATGAGACTCAATCTGGCACCCGCAAGGTTCTCTGTATCGATCCTCAGCTGAATCTAGAGCTTGCATCAGCAACAGCAAAGACAGCCATGCCATTGGGCATACCTGGGCATGATCTTGGGGAGTTGCTAGATGTACCCAGAACTGCCGAAACTGAGCATGAAGTTGTAATGCCCCCACAACTCAAAACACCTGTGCCATCACGACGTCGCCGACATCAGCCAAGCACTGCCTCGCCTCAAGCCATTCGGAATTCACCCATCATTCGCTCCCTCACAAAAAAGCTGAAAAGGGGTACCCTAAGACTACCGACATTGATCATTTTTTTGAAAGATATGAATCCGAGAAGGGAGGTTGAGGGGGGGCAAAGTGTAAATCTTGCAAGTACGTCTGTCCCCTAATTCTAGGAATACAAAAAATCTTGATTGTTCAACAGATCTCTCTTTTCACAATCAAATGGCATGAAGCCCGATGATGGCCGTACTTGGGTTTATCAGAATTCAGGCACGGGGACACTCCGTACTCACATTGAGAAATACCATGCGGATGAGTATCTCGAGGCATGCCAGACACATGGCTGGAAGATTGGGATTCAATCTCTCTGCGAAAAACAGAAACTGGTGAAGGGCCCTAACAGAAGGGGCACATTCACAACAGAAGGACTCATTCAGCATCTTGTCCGTTGGATAGTGGCAGATGATCAAGTGCGTCAGTGACTCAAATTTAATGTATATCCAATTTAACACAGCTCCTATTTTGAGTCTCTAAATGTAGTCGAATGTCCCGAGTTTCGAGAGCTCCTCCTGTATGTGAACGAGAGTCTTGCTGACAAAGATATACCCCACCGTACAACCATCCGAAACATCGTTGTCAAGATGTGGAGTGAAGAATTTTCAAGGCTGAAATGCGAGATGGCAGTAGGAATCAAACCAACTATTTATATCACCACATGCCCCTACTTATTATCACTTAAGACCAGTTTAGGGAAAATATCGTTTACTGCCGACATATGGACGGACAGCCGACTTCGCCCTTTCTTAGCTATCACTGCTCATTGGATACAACGCCGAGAAGACCATACACTAGCTCTTCGAGCTGATCTCATAGCCTTCCACTATCTGCCAGGAAGCCATGATGGAAAATCTCTATGTACCGCTGCGATGAAAATGCTCGAACGTGCTCACGTAATAAACAAGGTGAACTTAGAGTATGATCCACCCGCTCCGTTGGCTGATATCTAGTATTTCAAGATCGGTTGGTGGACACTCGATAATGCATCAAACAATAATACCTTCATGGTTGAGCTTGAAAAGGTATTGAGTGGGGCGGGTGTCGTGTTCTCTTCGGAAAATAATAGAGTCCGGTGCGTGGAACTCGTCTGGTTTGCACCAAACCATTCCTTACTGCTACATGTCACGGCGACTAGATGCTTCGCCCATGTCATTAATATTGCTGTTCAGCATGTACTCGCGCTCCTGAAGACGGCACCTGAGGGTGACATCATGGCCCGGCTGCATGGACTTGTTAACGCAATCCGAACATCCAGTGACCGTCGTGTGGCATTCCTGGATACCGTACGACAAGGAAATGCCTCGAAACTATTCCAGCCACCCGTCCCTGAAGTAGAATTGCTTCGAGAGGTCGAGACAAGGTGGGACTCGGCACATGGTATGTTAAGAACAACAATACCCGCACGGCCAGTAAGTGCTCCTTTTCAAAAGGACAGTCTAATACTGATTTTTTTTTGAGGCCATCGAGGCCATGATGATACAGAAAAAATATCGTGAAATACGGAGCAAGAACTTGACCGATGAGCAGTGGACCATGGCCCAGAAGATTCTGGATATCTTAGATGTACGTTGGTGTCCCCTGACCATTCCATGGCCTATCCGTACCACATACCAATCGTCTCACTGCTTTGGAATAGTATCCACACTTGTTCCAGCACCTAATGACCGGCGAGGCCACCCCTACCCTCAGTAGTGCCTTACCCGCCTTCCAGTGCCTTCAAGATCGCTGGGAGGACCATGCAGGAAAACACCCTGACATGGCAAAACACATATTAGGAGGAATGGAACGGTTGGATAAGTACCACGAAAAGGCAGGAAGGACGCGCGCTTATGTGATAGCCTTAGGTAAGTAAATCTTCACATTCCGCCGACCATCAAGCTTATGTCCATCTATATCCTCTTAGTTCTCAATCCAACCATCAAACTATCATTCATACGAAAGCATTGGTCCCCAATAGAACAAGAAATGGCCGAGATATGGATCAAGGATGAGGTAAGCATTGTACCACCACAACGTCGGTGGTGGCTCTTACCTGTGGTACAATCTAGCTTCAAAAGTATCGAGTGGATAGCCCTATGAATTTGGGCACAACACCACTCACCAAGCTTTCCGACTCTGCCCGTGTAAAGCTTGGTCTTATTGACGTGGATGATGACCTTGACGGTGAAGAAATCAGTGTGGATGATGAGTACTCTGCGTATATCGGTAGTTCGACACGTCGGATTCAAGCCACGCAACCCGTCCTTACATTCTGGCAGGTCTGCCCTTTTCGTTCAACTTTTGGTTCTATTATCCAAATATATTTTGAGCACTCGTCTGTATAGGAACATGAGCATACCTACCCAACGTGGTTCCGAATGGCATTAGATTATCTACCTATTCAAGCATCATCCGTTCCGTGCGAGCGGGTCTTTTCTTCAAGCTCGGAAACCATGACAAAAAGACGAAACCGCCTGAAGCCCGACGTTATGGAGGCTCTTCAAATGCTTAAATTTCGGCTTAAGAAGGACCGACTAAATTTCACGAAAGATTGGGAGACTCCGATCACCGATATGACAGTCGACCCGGACAACAGTGACGTGCTTGGCGAAGTCTTAAGTACCCAGTCGACAGAATTAGACAGTATGCTGGACCGTCTTTTGGGGGAAGAAGATTAGAGCTCTTAACCGACTTAACATTATGTACATAAAGAGTATGCCGAGTCTTCTTCAAGTCAACTCTGAGTCCAAGTCAAATCCGAAATATGACTTGACTTCGGACATAAGTCAAGTCTCACGGAAATCTCGCCAAGTCGCCCGAAGTCGAGTCCAAGTCAGTTCAAGTCAAGTCGCGGCAACACTAATTGACGCACACCCATGTTTGAACCCGAAAGCCTCGGCCGTATCGCTTTCGCGCTTTGGTTACCTTTGCGGCACAAGATGGATCGATCTCCGCTATGGCCGCCAGCAGATCCTCATACTGCGCGTGTTCCGATGTCTGGTCACTAAATAATGTCAATGAGTACCAAGGAAGAGCCCCTTGCGGGAAGACGACTCCTACTTTGTATTGTAGCTGTCACGATGTGTCAGACGACAAAGACCAGGGAGTGCCCCGGCGTTCACGACCTTCGCATCATCTCCAAGGGTACATAAGGATTTG